TCAGTCATTAAAAGAAAACTTGAAAATACAAGGTAGTCTTGTTGAGTTACAGTTCTCAGATGTGGAGTACTGCCCCCACAATCGAGTGGGTCCAAAGGGTGGTTGTGTAATTGAGAGATAAAATTAAAGAGACTTCAGACAAGACAAGGCATGAATGTGTTCAACTCCCGGCACCGCCATGACTTCAGGAGCCAGGTCCGCACAGAGAGAGAGAGAAAATTTATTCCCAACCAAGGCTTATACACACTCAGGCGGCCTGCAAGACCCCATAATTACAGGTAACCATGTCTAACAAAGAGGACTGTACCCTAACCCTAAGAGTCCCTGAGTACATAGGAGGAGTAACCTAACACCAGTGTTCAGGGCAGGGAAGGGGAGTGGCTGTCTTCAGCCATGTGCTTGTAAGAGGTAACTTTAATGTAGCACTGCTATGGGAGGATATAGTGGGGAGCAATATTAATTATGAGAATGTGACTGGGACTCACCTCCAACTCACAAGGGTGAAGGCCTCCCTCTACCCCAGAAACCCAGCCTACCAGGCTTCTTAATATATGAGAATAAAGTATTTATCTGAATACATTCTATTCCCATTATCTGCTTCCCACACTCACAGGTTTTACTGTATTAATGATGGTGGAAGAAATTACTTTAGCTTATTGGAACTGAGACTTCAATAATTGGTGGTTCCCAGCAAGATAAAGTAATGGAATCTCATTTTTATTTAAATGTAGAAAGTTCCCCAAATCATGAAGTTAACTATAAGGTTTTTAAATAATGAATCAGAAGCAAGTATCTTAAAACGTAACATGGCCTAACCATTCCTAGTGAGACACTGGACTTTAGACCTTTTATTGGACAGCCTGGGAATTATAAGAAGACACTCAAAAAAGCTGAGAATCTTTTTTCCCCCTGCTCTTGAGCAGGAGTCGTCTAACAAACATTAGAATTCCACTAGGCAGTTTTCCATTTGTGGGGCACACTATATGCAGTGATACACTGTTCAAAAACATGGGTCCCAACATTTGCTAGTGTTTATCAGTAGCAGCAGGGAGGGAAAATGTAGTGTCATTGTTCAGGAAGCAGTGAATTTGTGCTATGTTGATACGAACTTTGGATTACAGATCCAAATTATGGATGATGAATGCATAATACAACTAATATAACTGACATCACTAAATCCTCCCCCTGAAAAATGTTGATTTGACAAATGTTGGGATATATATACACTATATACACGTGTGTGTGTGTGTGTATATATTGTAATAAAAATGTTTACAACTACAGAAAATACACTGTCTTAAAATAATGTTTACTTTGGAAAGAATTATAGATTCATGTGGATATTTCAGAGAGATTTTGTGTCACCTCTATCTAGTTTCCCTCAAAGGTGACATCCTGTGAAACTTTAATTCCTTATCACTGCCAGGATTTTGCTAATACACACAAGATACAGAACTAGTCCTTCACACAAGAAACCCTCCTGGTACCCTTTTTCAATCACACCCCTTCTGTTCCATCGCCACCCTTCCTGAGCCCATTTTCCATCGCCATAATTTTGACATTTCAAGAATGTTATATGACTGGAATCATACAGTATGGAACTTTTTGGCATTAGTTTGTGTTTGTTTGTAAGTCTGATTGTTTTCTCAGCACAATTCTCTGGAGATTTAACCCAAATGTATGAGTCAATTTATAAGTTTTTTTCTTTTTTATTCCATGGTATGGATCTAACACAGCCTTTTTAACCATCCACCCAATGAAGGATATCAGGGTTGTTTTCAGTTTGGGGCTATTGAAAATAAAGCTGCTGTACTGGTAGACTGGGTTCTTAAGAGCAGCAAAACTAGTGACATTCACATGTGTATATAACGAAAGAAATGTCTGTCAAGACAGTGACTCACATAGGTATTGAAGCAGGTAATTCCTGTCTGATTTTTATATCTATTTTATATACTTACATAGTCAAGGCCCAGTAAAAATGTATTGGGTTAAAAAGGGTCCTGAGTGAAAAAGTTCAAGAAGCCCTGGTTTAGAGCAAGGCTTATGAAACCAAGGTTATAGGTTTCATGTAGCCCTTTGTCCATTTTTATAAATAAGCTTTTACTGAAACCAGAATCAAGTCATTCATTTACATATTGTCTATTAGCTCTTTCAGCAGAGCCCTTATAATCCACATAACTGAAAATACTCTCTAGCCCTTTAAGAAAAAAATTCTCCAATGCCTGCCTTAAACAAATAGGACCTTATATACATGATTAAAGAAGCGTCCTAGTAGCCTAATTGTTAGGGGTTGGGCTGCTAACTGTAAGGTCAGCAGTTCAAAACCACCAGACATTCAGTAGGAGGAAGATAGGACTTTCTACCCCAATAAAGAGTTTGTCTTGGAAACTCACAAGGGCAGTTCTACTTGTCCTGTGGGCTCAATATAAGTCAGCATCAACTAGGTGGCAATGAATTTTTTTTTTTTTGATACAGAACAAAAAGCCTAGAGTAAGCAGTATAACAGCTCTGGCATTCACAAATGGCCTGTGTCCTTTTATATTTATGCTCTGCCACCATTAATATGTGGGCCTGTTGTTTCATGATTAAAAATGGCTGGCAGCACTCCACATTATATCCACATTCAAGATAGGAAGGCTGAGGGGAGAAGTACCTATTTGTTCCTTCCATCAGAAAAGCTGACTCTAACCCTACCACCCTCTCTCAAGTCCCTTCCCATAGCACACCCTTTCTCTATCTCTTTACCTGTAAAACATGTCTAATGGCACAGTGTAGCTTCAAAAGAGGCTACCAAAATAGTGAAAAGGATTAGGATTGTCACATTGATTCATACAAGTGGCTTTTAAACTTTTTTAACTTTTTAAACTGTGACACACAAGACATATGTTTTATACCAATGGATATACAGAATTAAAACATGATAATGCAAACAAAAATCTCATAAAATATTATTTTACTATGTGTGCTATGCATTTATGTTTTTTCTCTCTTAAAAAAATACCAGGCACATCTTCCACTAAATTAATTTTACAACCCATTCCACACTAATCATGGACCTAGAGAAAACCTTAAATAGGTCAGGGAATGATTTACCCTGGAGTGCTGATTGTGATTGGGGCAACAACTCATGCTTCCTATTCTCCCACTGTGCACCAGGGACTCCACTCAGTGCTTTACGTACATCCTCCCTACTCCCCTCATCACTCAAAGGAGTAAGTGCTACTACTTGCCTTTTTCATGCAGCACAAGTGTCCACTGTCAGAGTTTTCAATTCCTTCATTCAGAAAAAAAAGAAAAAGAGGGGCAGTGAAAATGAGGAAGGCCTCCAACAAGAGGGATTGGCACAATGGCTGCAAAAATCATAGGAACAATTGTGAGGCTAGCAAAGGATGGGGCAGTGTTTCATTCCGTTGTGCATAGGGTTGCTATGGGTTGGAACCAACTCTATGGCACTTAACAACAACAACAACAACACAGTGCTGCAGAGTTCCAGGGGAACTGTGTGTCTCCCTAGTTCTGGGTCCATTGATAACATATGGCAAGAATGAAAACTTAGGATACAATTCTCAGCCCTGTTGAATTTTACCCTGTTTTAGAGAGCCTCAGATGTGATGGCCAGAGCTTCAGGCTATGCAGGAGTAAATATGCGCAAGGGAAAGGGATGGACCATTCTCCGTGAATTCGCACGAGGGCAGAGCTGGGAAGCCCTCTGACTGGTGATCTCTAGGCCATGACTTTTGCATATGGAGAAAAAGACTAAAAAGGGTTGCACGCACAAATCCAGCTGTCCTAACAACGGAGTGAGGAGGAGCGCACAGACTCAAATTCCTTTGAAGCTGTATTTTGTGTATATGGGCCTTTCTAGAAGGTTGATAGCTTTTATCAGATCCTAAAGTGGTCATGACTAAATGAAATTATAGTGATTTCGGTTGGAGAGAAGTCAGGATTGGAAATTGTAGAATAAAAGAGAAACTGGAAACTTTCCTGTGGGCTTTTCAGACACAGTGAACTATTCAGAGCTCCCTAAGTGCTCTGAAGTTTTCTTAGAGCAGGCAAATTTTCATCTCCAAGTGGTGCATGGAAGAAGTCGCTAGATCCGTGGAGGGTTTGTTTGTTTGTTTGTTTGTTTGTTTTTAAGCGGGGAGCTCAGAGGCCACAGTGTATTTATTTACCTGGTACAGCAGCCAGGCGTTCCTCCAGCAAAACACAGCAAACGCTCCAGCTTTTATTGATTTGCATCCTACTTCCCCCACCTCCCAGCTACGCCCACAAAACTGGGGACCTCCAGCAGCCTTTGTGAAAGCTCAAGGCCCCCACCTTTACCGCGGGGTGCCTGGCCTCTCCGACCATAATCCGGACCCCACACTCTGCCAGGGTCTTAGGATGCACTGGCCCATAGGATTTGGTCACAGGATGGAGCCAAGCGAGCACACCCACCTCTCTCCTGGGTCGTACTGCATCATCCAGAGCCCTGACCTTGCCTGGACCTTGACTGACCGCCCGGACAGTGTCATTGGATGGTGCCGGAGGAAGAGCGGATGGGACAGCGCCATTGGGCGGTGCCGGACGAGGGGCGGAGCGGAGAGTTGCCATTGGTAAGCCGGGGGCGAGGGCTGGTGCGGGGCAGGGCGGAGGCTCGCAGCGCGCAGGCCCCGGCATTCGGCACTGCTGGGCAGCTCCGTCCGTTGCAGCCGTGGTTCCTGGGCCGTGCGCTCTCTGGACAGTGAGTGATGCACGGGCATCAGAGGCCCAGGAGTCCACCAAGTCCACTGTAGCCCCGGCCCACTCCTAGTCCACTACTGCCAGCGGCGGGGCACGGTGCTCTATGGACCACAGCACGCCGGATCTTCTTGTCTTGCCAGGTTGGTCGGGCATCCCAGGTAAATGCGATGGCACAGCGGGAGCCTTGGGCCATGCTCGATGTGAACCTTGTGCTTGGCACTACTTTAAGGGGAAAGCACTAGGTACTCAGACCTGAAAACGACAGGTGAGTGTGGCCGCGGGTTACACTTCAGCCCGCCTCTTTCCTCGGCTCAGTCAGTCTTTTAGAGGTGGAAGGAAATAGTAGCAATTGGGCACAGCGCTGGACTTGATAGTGGCAAGATATAGTAGAGGTGGCTTGCCCCACACCAGTTATTTACAATGATTGAAAGTCACCCTTGTGCCATGCACACTGCAAAGGACTTTTGCACAATAATTCACTTACTCTTGTGAGACTGGAACTTTCATTTTCCCCATTTTCAGTTGAGAAAATAGAAACTGAAAAACCAAATCCACTGCTATCAAGTCGATTCGGATACATTGCGACTCCGTAGGACAGAGTAGAACTGCTATTAAGGGTTTCCAAGACCACACGTCTGCTAGTCTCTCTCCTGTGAAGCAGCTGATGGCTCGAACTGCTGACCTTGTGGTTAGCAGCCCCGCATGTAACCACTGTGTCACCAGGACTCCAGTGAAGCTTGAAGAGTCATGTGTTTGCTCAACTTTACCCCTTGGGTAGCTGAGGCATGAATTGAACCTGGGACCTGCTTGGACTCTAGGTCTCCTGCAATTAACTACTAAAGGCGGAAACCATCCCACCCAATCCGCAGGCCTGCACCTTCCACATTTTGTCTCAGTGTATTTATTTACCTGGTACAGCACAGTAACCCATTGTTCTGCTGGATGGGAAGGCCTGCTCTCATGCCAAGATCGGTGCCAGGCCAATGCTACTCTTTCTTAAAAGACAGTCAAAAGAATCAGTAGCCCCATGTCACAGAGGAATGAAATAAGGTCGCATGGTATTGTGTCCTGGGATTCTAGACTTAAAACCCAGGCCTGATGGGCTCCACAGTCATGCACTTTCACTTGCTGTGCTGTAGTGTAACCGTCCCCTGGCCAGCACCAGGTGTCCATCTGGACTGGTTGCCAGACGCCATGCTTTTAAAGAAGTTATTAGTAGCTCAATGGTTGTTTTTAGTCACCATGGGTTGTTCAAAATCATGACAACCTTGGGTATAACTTCCAGTTAAATATCCATCTGCCTGCCTCTTACTGCTCTGTTCCATTAATAAGGACGGTGGAGGGGAGGAGGGGAATCAAAGGACACAAAGGAGAAAGAGATGAGAGAGAGGAAGACATGGAGGGAGAGAAAGAAAAGAGGGAGGTGAGGGAGAGGAGGAGAGAGAAGACACTAGAACAGCGTTTCTCAACCTGTAGGTTGTGACCCCTTTGGGGGTTGAATGACCCTTTCACAGGGCTCGCCATATTTATAACAGTATCAAAATTACAGTTATGAAGTAGCAACAAAAATAATTTTCTAATTGGGGGCGGTCACCACAACATGAGGAACTGTATTAAAGGGTCGCAGCATTAGGAAGGTTGAGAACCACTGCACGAGTGTGTGTGTGTGTGTGTGTGTGTGTGTGTGTGTGTGTGGCAGCGGGGGCAGGGGTGGGTACATTTACCTGGACTAGATGAAAAAGACTAAATGTAGTCAGGTGAAAACATTGCTAATCAGAAGTTGTCATGGGTGTGTTTCAGGTCCTTGTTGGTTAATAGTGTCTGTTTTCATTCGTTTAGTCATAATTTTATGTGTAGGTGATTCAGAATTTGGGTCATGGGACAGTGCTAGTTGTAAAGAACAAGCAGGAACAATGATGCATCCCAGTTCAGATCCTAGGAATACCAAACCTCGCAGGTGTCCCTGATCACGGATGGGCTAGAAAGCACTCTGAATTGGGCTTCTGGGGGCCTGTTCCTGGTTCTGGTCTGCCATAGCCTCAGTCAGGACATAGGTCACCACCTCTCTAGTGCAGTCAGGTATATCCTTTCACTCACAGCCACTCTGCCAGGGCCTCTTGTCCTCTTTGAGTTCCACATGCTCCGTTGTCTCAGTGGAGTCCCTTACTCCCATTATCAACAGTGACACCTATGCACACTTCAGTTTATTGTGAATGAGCATGATACCAGGTCCCTTCAGCTTATCTCTTTTACTAGCCTTCACATAGTTGAGGTTTCTAATTATTTCACCAATGAGAAATCTGAAGTTCAGAGACAGAGAATGACTTGTCCAAGGTCATATAGTTAGACAATCATAGAGTACTGAACCCAGATTTTTTCAAAGTCTAAATGTTTTTGTGTCATAGAGTATACTGAGGAAAATATGTTGAACTTGTTTTAAAATTAAACTTGAGTAGGAAGTAGCTGTACTTCCCAATATTTCTGTGGTTTTTATGTTTGTTCAAGAGGAACTTAAAATTTAGTTAGTCTCCTTTTCCGCGTGAACCCATCTCCTTCCCTGAGATACACTGCTGAGCAAGAGATTTGGGACCATCTCTCCTAGCCCTGCGTCACCTTGGGGAGCTAAATTGGGGCTGTCATCCAGCCCCATAGCCACAGAGACGTCTGGAGCCCTAAAAACACTGTAGACTAGCTACCAGTAAAACCATGGCTAATCATCCACCACACTGACACCACAGCAAAATTCTAAACTTCTCTCCGTGTGCCTCACAGTTTCCTCTTTCTTGTGGTGACACATTTTGGCAGAGATTCTTAACTTGGGATCTGGCAATGTAGGGGAACATTGACAAAGGTCTCCAGAGAACGTGTTTGCATGCACACATATGCATGCATTTTGTTAAGAGAAAGACTTAAACTTTCAAGAGACTCCAATGGCCCCCATAACCCAAGAGATGCACCATGTCTTAGCTGCACAGGAATCATCCACAGCAGCTGTACGGGACACACAGCCTGACTATAGATGTGACAGATGGGGTGCAGCTGGAGACAGCCCCTAGGATCTCCCTACAATAGCTGCCACTGTGTGTTTGGCCCCTGTGTTCAGCTTCCCCTGGGAGCATTGGCCAGTGGTCATTTCATGCCTCTGTCTTGCCCAGAGAACATAGCTGAGAGGATCTCTGTTTCCAACAATCATCTCCTCTGAATACAGAAGGTGAGCCTAGTGGATAGGGAGTACCCACAGGATGAAGGAGTTTGCATGTAATAGAGCAAGCAGGCTAAAGACAGCTTTTTTGCTCAGGTTGCTGAGCCTTGAGATCAAGAGCAGAAATTAGAAATGCTGCCTTGAAGGGGTATCCCTGGGCTGGGCTGTGGAGGGAACTTAGTGGGGAAAGATTCTGAGGGTCAGATTCTTCATAGAAAGAAGATGGTGCAAGAGTAATATGTGTGGTAGGAGGAGAGGACTGCCCAGGAATAATTCAAGGCTATTTAATATGAGCTGGGAAGTGAAGGGAGTGGAGCTGACCAGAGGCATTAAGACTTGCTTGTCTTCTTGCTCTCTTCTGTGACCATCACCTCCCTCTGGACTGCCCTTCTGCGACTTCCTAGCCAGTTTATCTCGAGGGAGGGGCTGGGAGGGATGTGAGTCAGAGGAATGGCTGATGGTGGCGATAGACAGGGAGAGATGGAAGTTGGAGTAAGAGACTGGTATGAAGACAGCCAGGAAAGAAGGACCAGGAAGAGCAGCTGTCCAGCTGTTTCTACCATCTTTACCAAAACAGCCAGCTTCCTTGGAAAAATTGGAAGCCCGGAGTGGCCATGTCCAGCCCAATACCCTCTCACACAGCAGCATCTTCTTTCAAAATGCCACTTTCTGCTCTATTTAAAAGATGTTTGCTTTGGTGCCTCCTTGCTGCCTTGGCTGATGCTTGTAAGTCATAGCCCTGGGTTGTGGAGCAGGGAATTTGGGCCTTCTAGGAATGGCAGCCCTTCATCAGCACCTGCCTTCTCCCTAGGATCACCCCCCTGCCCCATTCCCCTTCAACCCCTTGGTGTGGGAGCAAGACCAGACTGAGAAGATCCTAGCTGTTCACATTCACTGTGCCTTGTTTGTGTTATTTTGCTTCTCATAATCCTCTCTTGACCTGCTTGGTTTAAATCATGGCTAAACAGGAAAATAGAAATCATAATTTCATGAAATGTTGGAACAGAGATTACCAAACTCTAGGATTTCAGGCATCCTTCAACATTTCAATTATAATAAATAATAACCATAACATCAATGTTTTCCATTTTGCCAAATAAGATAACCACTACCATTTATTTTTGCCATAATTTTATGAAAGAGGTTAAAAAATGGGACATAGTTTCTTTTAAAAAAAAGCTTTACAAACATATTTAAATTAGCCTTCCCTTTCTCGCGTAGTCTTTAAGCATCAGGCAGGAAGTTCTGTGGTGACTCTCCCTGCCAGAGGTGCTGCTGACTCAAAGATACCCTGTAGGATCCGGTAGAACTGCCCCTGTGAGCTTCTGAGGCTGTAACTCTTTATGACAGTAGAAACCTCATCTTCTCCTCTGGAGCTGCTGGTAGTTTCAAACTGCTGATCATATAGGTAGCACCCAAACTTGTAAGAGTTACTCCCAGTCCTGTGAAGTTTCTTGTACTCATTCAGTAGTTTCTTAACCAATATTTATGGCCCTCCTAGGATATAGTGGCTTTTGAAAAGGGGTGTCAAAAAATATAGTTGTCCTCTCCTAGGATACTCAATTCCATAACCGCAAAAGATGACCAAGCTTAGCATCGATAAAGGCTTCAGTGTTCTTTGTCCAAAGCCCAAAGCCTAACTCAGAGGACAATCATAAGGCTCTGCTGTCATCAGCAGCTCCTCCTTATATTGGAAGAGCAGCCAGAGAAGTGGAGAAAACAGCTCACAGTCTGTTACTAGGAACAGGTAACTCAGGCTAGCAACCTAACTGCAGCCCCTGGGCCCCTCCTCTGGGAAATTAGAGGCTAGGCTGCAGTTTAGCTCTCTGGTTGGGGCTGAAGAAAAATGGGACAAAGCATCTCCCAACCCAGGGCCTGGGTGAGGGAAGCAGGCCAGGACAGCCAGGCAGAGGAAGGGAGGGGACGGGCGGCAGGTAGTCGGTCCACTTGGCAGAC